ATAGTGTTTTTAGTCTCCGTTGTAATCTCTGTAGTAATCTCTGTACTTGTATCAACATTCGGCGTATCCCCTGTTCCGTTATGACGTTGGGGGGTGTTCCGTTTTAACGTAATAGCTGTGTCGCTGACTGTGTTATTGCTGTTGCTTTCTGACGAAACAGAAGAAGGTGTGGTGATGGCAGCAATTGCCTGTGGGTTGATCCCGACAAACAAAATATTGCTGCATTTCACCCCGTCTAGCATTTCCACCGTGCGTAAATCCAGAGTAATAAACCCGGCATCGCGAAGACGCTTCAGCGCATCTGCGGTTTCCCTTTTCCCAAAACCAAACTGCTCAGCAAACGCCTGATAGCTTCTTTGCAGCTTGTCACCCTGAAAACGCTTGCGATATCCCAGTAAAGCCCCGGTATGCTCATCCCGGACTTCTGTCGGGCGGTACCAATAAACGATCTCTGAGAGCAGGGCGATAGCGGTCGCATCCGGACGACCACTGGGTAGCCGAATATGTTTCCACCAGTTCGCTGGTGTGACATTGCCGGAAATATTAATTTGACCAATAGCTATAACTTCCGGTGTGGGGGCGTAACGACTCATACAGCCTCCTTACGCGGCATAACAATGGTGTAACCCCGGGCAGGCTGGAACCGGGCTTTTGCATCAATAGTGAGCGTTGCAATTTTTCGGATACGCAGATACCCCGCCCTTTCCAGGGCCAGGGTTTCTCTGAACATTGCCTGTTTTGAACAGCAACAAAAATCGGCAAGGACCTGGTGATCAATAACCCTCTCACCTTCACCGTCTGAAGAACCCGACATCAAAACACGCAACATAATCAGGCGCTGAATCGGATTATCGAAAACACTTCCGCATACAAACTGAAAACAGTTCACACGGCACCTCCCAGGCGTTTAAACATTTTTCCGGACTGAAACACCGCCAGTGGGTAGCTAATGGTGTAGTTACGCCCCAGTAATTCACACACAACTTTCTGGTTTTCGGTGCTGACCAGACAAACCCGCAGAACGTGACCGTTGCTGGTGGCGAACCACTGCCCCACACGGGGGCAACGGTTGTATCGGTGATACAGGGAATTAACGATGCGGCGAATCATGGGTACACCTCCCGCACATCAGCCATGAGCATTTTGCTGGCTGTTTCCAGCGCCTGGTCGGCGCTAATTTGCATGACAGCCAGTGAATGAGGAACAAAAGCACCGGCATATTCTGTTTCACTGGTGGCGTGTTTATGCGCCATATCTGCAATCACAGAAATCTCAATCAACGCATCCATCAGTGTCCTGATAACTGCAACGGTTGTATCCGGACGAGTGTTATTGCGCATGGCGCACCTCCCATTGATTACGACAGAAAGTGGAGTGATTCAGGTGGGTTTCAGCTTCACGGAATGCTTCAATGCAGCTCTCGTAGTACCGCATTGTGCGCAGACTTAACCCAAGCTGAAGCATCATCAGACCATCAAGGGTGATGTAATAACCTCGCAAAGAGTCACCATAGATGTGATAAGTACCCGGTATGAAATTGCGGGTGAAAAATTCGCGCGAGCAGTTCAGGTACTCGATTTTGTCGACGATGTTCTGGTGCATGCGCTTGAAATGACAGGCAACATGCAGAGAGAAAATAACGGCCTTGCCGTTGACGACTTCGATTTTGAGGAATGGGTGAGTAGTGGTGGTAGTCATGGTGACAGCCCCGGTAGTCAGTTTTTTAGAAAACTCACCACCAAGGCTTCTCACGGCAATAGGTGGTGAGACGTACAGGGGTGAGAAACCGGAGACTACCGAACCCGGCCCAACCGAAGTTGGCCCTGCACGCCCCACCATAATTTGGGCGTAACGATACTCATGACACGAAAAAACCGCATGAGCGCGGTTATGCTCAGTAATCAATTTCGGGTTCTCACGCCCGGCACCCGCTTTATAAGGTGCAGAGACAGTGTAACGTCCCGAAATTGCAGAATCAATACATTGTGTGGATATAACAATTTTGTTATCTTTATGGACATGAACTACACTATCGAATACTACAGTGAAGAGGTCAGGCTGGAGGTCGACCAGCTTCCATTGAGTATGCGTGCCCGATACCAGCATCTTGTTGAACGCATGAAGGTATATGGCAGCAATCTCGGAGAACCTCATACCAGTGCTTTCGGTAACGGGCTTTTCGAGCTTCGGATTAAAGGTAGTGATGGCATCGCACGCGTCTTTTACTGCACCCTGGCAGGAAAACGCATCATCATGCTGCATAGTTTCATCAAGAAGACCCAGAAAACCCCACCAGCCGAACGCCAAAAAGCTGAAACCAGAATGAAGGAGGTAAAGCATGACTGGTAAACGTAATCCGCCAACCATTACACATGATGAAATGGCTGATAAATGGATGAAGGATCCAGCTTTTAAAGCAGAATACGACGCCATCGCCGACGAATTTGCGCTGCTTGATGAAATGCTGGCAGCACGTAAAGAAGCTGGTTTAACCCAGGCTGAGATCGCTGAGCGTATGGGAACCAAAGCAACTGTCATCAGCAGAATGGAAAGTAATCTGGCGTCAGGTGTCAGTGGACCATCATTTTCCACACTGAAAAAATTTGCCCGCGCAACAGGAAAAAAACTCCAGATCCGCTTCGTGTAAGTTTCCACCATTACGCCGTCACTCTGGCGGCGCTTCACACTCCACAAAATCACGACGAAACAACCACAACGGACTGAAGCATTCATGCGAATAACCATCACGCAGGTAAATGACCCGCTGTGTTTCAGACTCCCAGCGTATAACGTGGACGCGACGCCCTCTGCCATCGCGGAACCAGCGATTGAGTACTTGCATGTGTTACCTGTGAGCATAATTACACCTGCCAGCCCAGCGCCTGAAACAGGCCCATTTTCGGGTGATACCAGCGAGTACCTCGTGGTTCTGCTTCACTCATCGCGCGACGAGACAATAATCCGTCTGGCGTCATAAATTCATGGGTGTCGGTAGGGATCTGATATGCGTTCACCAGATTGCGGCATTTCGCATCTGACATACCTGTTTTCGCCACCAGCTGACGGTATCCTGCATAACCATCGCGTATGGTGCCTCTTTTGATTTGTTCGACAGTTTCGGCAACGTGGCTAACTTTTTCTTCCATCTTGTCGAGGCGTTTTTGCTGACGAACTGCTTCAAGAGCCATCGCGGCAACCATTTCGATTTCGCTCATTGGTTTGCGCACCTGCTCTTCCAGTTCGCGCCAACGATCTACCAGGCGGGCAGTGAATTCCGGGCAAAGTTGTGCGACGACAATGATGCTGTCGCGTTTGCCTTGTTCGCCTTCGAAAATATATGCGTTTGTGAATTTGTTTTGGCTAAATGATTGTTCGTTCTCAACTTTTTGCATTGCAGGAAGTTGAATCACCCCGCGTTTTGCCAGACGCTCTATTGATATTCTGACATTGCCGTGTTGACTTCCAACCAGCTCTGCGATTTCAACGCTGGTCATGGATACTTTGTCGTTAAAAATTGCGGTGTTCATCATTCAATCTCCTCAGGATGTTTCTCAAACCAGGCGTCAAGGGCGCGCTCGCTGGCCTCTCCTTCTTCAGGAGAAAGCTGCTCAATACTTATAAAACGGATGGATAAAACCGAAGGATTGGCGTTACGTATTGCCATCGCATCATTCACAGCTGCGGAACAGGGGCATTTGGCCTTTCCGATAATTGTCTCGGTATAAGTGCGGGCGTACTCTGAAACCACGTACGTTCTTCTGTACCACTGTTCGACCGGAATTTGTCCAACAGGATCTGAAGGGTTGACTAATTTTTGAGTGCTGCTAATGTTAAGCATGATCAATGTCCTTTAGTCAGATGATTGAGGCCTTTTCCAGTCTGGTGATTAATGCCCTCCGGTTGGCGGTCAGGATCAGTGATTAATCGGGCGTTTATCATGGAACAGCTCCTTGCAAGGTTGATTCCGAAGGTAAGTCAGGACAGGCCGGGCTGGCCCACCTTAATCCGGCCCGGCTTTTTCTTTTCCTTTCGCTCAGTAACATTTGTCTGACCAAGTGCCCATTGCCGCGCACGAAACAAGCAATCATTAAACATCGCTCCTTTGCGGCTGGCCTGCGAGCTACGGCGGTAGTAATCCAGTCCCCGGCATGCCCCCCCCCCCTGGCAACAATTTCAGGGAAGCCCTCCGCCACCAGCTTTTCCGTTATGTGTTTGCAGATAAATTCTTCTGGAGTCATGGTTAGCCTCTTCAATT